GAATATAGCCCTCCGTCCGGTAGTTATGGTAGACGAATTCCCAATTGTAAATCCAATAGGGTTCCTGGATAATTCCCACAGTAAAACACACGAACTCCCAAACAGCATACATAGTCAGAATAAGGGTACAAAGATGAACTGAAGGTTTAATGACAGGCATGCTCTTTTTATGGAATTCAGCCCATGCAAGGTAGCCTCCCATATAATTAGCCATACATCCAATCCTAACAATATACATACTGTACATCTCCTCCCCTCAGATAACCATTAAACACAATTAAAACGTAACAGAAATTCCCCAAAGTTTGGATGTACCCCAAGGACTTGGGGTACAGACATAATTTTGGTGTCCCCAGATAGCTATTGTCTGGGAGACCAACATAAACTCAGTCCATTCGGTTCAGCCGTTCGGGAGATATAGGACTTAGAAGTTTTGACCGACTGCACGGGCAAAGTAGCCAAAAACAGTTCCATGAATTCTGGCCCTGCAGTCGGTCTTAGATCGCATGAAAAACCTCCTGAATGGCCGGCCATCCAGCTACCATCCTTGGTTCGCTTAATTCCCCATCTGTTGGTAAGTCTTTCTACCGAACGCCCGGTCGTTCGGTAGTTTGGAAGGGGTTTTACCGAAGGTCTGGAGGCTTCAGCGGTGTTCGCCTGTTTGAGTGTCTGTTTTCAGTTCCAGACATTCAATGGCAAACACCGCTGTTCGGGAGCTAAAATGGCCGCGAACACGAGGAAGTCCCGAAATGGCGGCGAGACCTGCCGTTCGTGCAAAACTTCTGCCGAACGTAATCCAGCCAGCAAGGGGGTACAGTCTGTATAAAGGGGTAACAGGGTGGTCTGCATTCGGTAGTTTTACCTACCGAATGCCATAGGGAAACATTGCTATTAACAAACAAATACAACGAGTGCATATACAGTATAAAAGGGGCATTTCTTCACAGACGCCTACGTTCATTCACATGCGCATGCGCGTGGGGTCCAACCTGGAACGCACAACAAGCTTTATTGCTACTTTAGCTTTAGTGATCATTCGCACCAATACGCATATAACCAGCCTATTGGGCTAAGAGTAAAGCAGACAGGTAAATGATTCATACAGGAAACACAAAAAAACGGATGAATAATACTAATAGACCATAGAAAATCAACAGAAACGAACAACTTCATATTGCCATTGAAAACAATGCTCTATATCAATACTTAATATTGATTCTCCACTTAAGACACATATAATAAAATAATTTACACAATACAATTTCATATAACTGTAATTCCATAATGCACATAGTGATGGAAATGATACTAATAGACCATTGAAAATCAACAGAAACTAACAACTTAATATTGACAGAGAAAACAATACTATATACCAATACTTAATATTGATTCTCCACTTAAGAAACATATAGTAAATAAAGAAAAATTATACAATACAATTTCATATCACTGTAATTCCATAATGCACATAGTGATGTTATACTGAAATGTAGACTTAAAATTGTAATTATAAAAATACGAATACAAAATATTCTGTGTCAGAAGGGAATATGAGCTGGCGAACGAGGCGAAAAATAAAAATAAAAAAAAGGAAGGAAGAAAGAACGAACAGTGGTCGATAGAATAGAAGGTGACTTGGTGCCTATATAGAGACAAAAAGTAAAAATAATTAAAATAATTAATATCAGGCATTTTTTAAAAGACTGATTAATATAAAAAATTCTAAAAAAATTCAAAAAAATCCACAGAAACTAGATTTCTAGACACTAATCCATAAATACCAGTAGGTCGAAATCAACGTTTAGACCCAGTGGTGTTATCGTCTTTAATTTATGGATCCAGTCTGTTTCTTTTCTTGCCAGGAATTTCTCAGTGTCTCCTCCTCTCCAGGGGGTAGTGATTACGTCTATTCCTATACAAGTAAAACTTTGAAAGTTAAAATCAATACAATCCATACAATGCCTGGGTACACTATGTTTAAGATTTCCCCTTTTAGCCCATTAAAATGTTCTAAAACTCAAACATGTAACTTTCTGATTGTCCATCCAACATATTGCATCCTGCATTTACATTCTAATAAATAAATAAATCACGTTCTTAGTGTGGCAATTGATAAAATGTTTCATTTTAAAAGTTTATTTTGTAATATTGCTCCTAAAATCAATAGTTTTCAATTTTGGTTTCATTTGGTTTCTCTTTAACCCCTTAAGGACACATGACATATGTGAAATGTCATGATTCCCTTTTATTTCAGAAGTTTGGTCCTTAAGGGGTTAAGAAAATTGATTTGATTTGAGCAAGAGGGGGCAATCTTGGGTTTGATTGTCGGTAGAACACTAGGGCTAAAATAGACTTTAAATTTTGTGTTTTCTTATAAATTATCTGTGAAATTTTAGGTAAAACTCTTTTAAAAAATTGATTCTGCTGTAGTATTAGCCAATGTTTTTTAATTGCCCTCTCGATTAAAAATGCCTTACTATTATATTTAGTTATAAATGGAAACTTAAATTCCATATTTTTATTTTTATGTCTAGTTTTCTGCTCTATTTATTCTTTCCACATTCTTTCCAGAGTGAGTTCAAAGGTTAAGGTTCTGTTAGTGAATTTTTTTTGTTCCTTAAAATCAGTATTGTGGGTGCAGTTTCTCAAGAGTCTCATATGCTGGCCTTTAGGTATATTATTGAGCCAATTCGGATGAGGACAACTCGAGTACTCTATGAAGCCATTCCCATGGCTCCCAAAATGGCTTTTTTTCTAAGGAAGGACCTATTTAGAGAATATATTTTCAAATTTTCTATTTCTTGCCTCTCTCATTGAGGTAGTCATCAGTAGTGATGTCGCGAACACAAAATTTTCGGTTCGCGAATGGCGAACTTCCGCAAATGTTCGCGAACCGGCGAACCACGCAAACCGCCATTGACTTCAATGAGCAGGCGAATTTTAAAACACACAGGGACTCTTTCTGGCCACAATAGTGATGGAAAAGTTGTTTCAAGGGGACTAACACCTGGACTGTGGCATGCCGGAGGGGGATCCATGGCAAAACTCCCATGGAAAATTACACAGTTGATACAGAGTTTGGTTTTAATCCATGAAGGGCAGAAATCACCTAACATTCCTAAATCACAATGAATATGGATTGACACCTGACATATGACATATTGACACCTTGACATATGGATTGACACCTGTCCTCAGAGCCCCTGATGCACACCGACACAGAGCAGAATAGAGACTGGTCCCCCTACATAGGGTCACTTGGCAGATATGGATTGACACCTGTCCTAAGGATCCCTGATACAGACTGACACAGAGCAGAATAGGGACTGTTCCTCCTACACAGGGTCACTTGGCAGATATGGATTGACACCTGTCCTCAGAGCCCCTGATACACACTGACACAGAGCAGAATAGAGACTGTTCCTCCTACATAGGGTCACTTGGTAGATATGGATTGACACCTGTCCTCAGAGACCATGATACACACTGACACAGAGCAGAATAGAGACTGTTCCCCCTACATAGGGTCACTTGGCAGATATGGATTGACACCTGTCCTAAGGATCCCTGATACACACTGACACAGAGCAGAATAGGGACTGTTCCTCCTACATAGGGTCACTTGGCAGATATGGATTGACACTGTCCACAAGGACAAGCTGCAGACTTCCTGGCAGGGCCCATACAAGGTGGTAGAGCAGGTTTGTGATACCACCTTTGTGATCGGTACGGTCACAGGCACGGGAGGCAAGCGCATGCTCCATGTGAACAACCTCAGGCGCCTATCCTATGCCCCGGATAGACGAGCTCCTAGACAAAATGGCCAGAGGCCAGTACCTCACCACAATAGATCTGTGCAAGGGGTACTGGCAAATTCCATTAGCCGAGGACGCCATCCACAAGTCGGCATTTGTTACCTCGTTTGGCCTGTATCAGTTTAAGGTCATGCCATTCGGGATGAAGAATGCCCCGGCTAACTTTCAGAGGATGGTAGATCGGCTACTGGATGGGTTTCAGGAGTATGCCTGCACCTACTTGGATGATATAGCCATTTTTAGCTGCTCCTGGCCCGAACACCTGACCCACATAGGAGCCGTACTAGACCGGATTAGGGAGGCCGGACTGACCCTAAAGCCCAGTAAGTGCCATATAGGAACGCGTAAAAACCTCCCCAAGATAGTAGTATGGGCCCCAGAGTGTGAACAGGCCTTCCAACAGCTCAAGACGGCGCTCATTAAATCACCTGTACTTTCTGCTCCTGATCCAACTAAATGCTTTCTCGTCCATACAGATACTTATATGTTTGGATTGGGAGCAGTACTGAGCCAAGTCGGAGCAGATGGCGGCGAGCAACCCGGTGCTTATCTAAGCAGGAAACTTTTGCCCAGGGAAGTAGATACACTGCCATTGAAAAGGAGTGCCTGGCAGTGGTGTGGGCCCTCAAAAAGCTGCAACCTTACTTGTATGGACAACCGTTTACCTTACTCACAGATCACAACAAATTTGGGGCACTGCGCGTGCAATCTAATGTGCCACCAGATAGGAGTGGTGTGTTTAGTACTAATGTTATCAGTTTAATCACTGTTACGTCCCCTATCCGTTGATGTGGAGCAAGACGCAGCAGCAGAAGAGGACTCAGCCGAGGAGGTTATGGAAGAGGATGGAGTAGGAGGAGTAGAGGAGGTGGCAGCAGGACTGCCTGCAAGTCGTGGCGGTGTCACCAACTCCTCTGCAGAGCCATGCATTCCATGCTTAGCAGCAGTCAGCAGGTTTACCCAATGCGCAGTGTAGGTGATATACCTGCCCTGACCATGCTTTGCAGACCAGGTATCAGTGGACCCTTGCCCCAACACTGTGTGCCAGACATGCCATTATTTCCTTTTGCACAATCGAGTACAGGTTGGGGATTGCCTTTTGTGAAAATAAATTTCGTCCGGGTACCAGTGAGTGAGTGGTGGCGCTGGGCACAGTATCCACTGTGAGCCTGACACACCTGCTGGCAGACAACTAACTGCTATTCAATCTATAACAGTGAAAAAAGTATTTTGTTTTTAAATGCAAGCTATTATGACACCAGATATGAGTGGCACTGTAAACTGGCAGAGTACACGCTGTAGGGCTGACACACCCGCTTGAAGATAACTAACTGCTATTCAATCTATAACAGGGAAAAAAGTATTTTGTTTTTAAATGCAAGCTATTGTGACACCAGTGAGTGAGTGGTGGCACTGGGCACAGTATCCACTGTGAGCCTGACACACCTGCTTTGAGACAACTAACTGCTATTCAATCTATAATTGATGTTTGTTTCACAGGCAGAAATTGCCCTAAAACATGGCGGCTTGAACCCTAGTTGGTGGCGGATAAGTCACGCAAGTCAACCGGCATTCAGAGCTAAAATACAGCAGCGTGTGGAACATTTTTAGCCCAAGGCAGCTCATCTCATCAGGCCTTTTTTAATCTAATGTATCGCCCAGTGTCAGTCCCTTCGGGATCCATCCCTCATTCATCTTAATAAAGGTGAGGTAATCTAGACTTTTTTGACCTAGGCGACTTCTCTTCTCAGTGACAATACCTCCTGCTGCACTGAAGGTCCTTTCTGACAGGACACTTGAAGCGGGGAAGGCCAGAAGTTCTATCGCAAATTGGGATAGCTCAGGCCACAGGTCAAGCCTGCACACCCAGTAGTCAAGGGGTTCATCGCTCCTCAGAGTGTCGATATCTGCAGTTAAGGCGAGGTAGTCTGCTACCTGTCGGTCGAGTCGCTCTCTGAGGGTGGATCCCGAAGGGCTATGGCGATGCGTAGGACTTAAAAAGGTCCGCATGTCCTCCATCAACAACACGTCTTTAAAGCGTCCTGTCCTTGCCGGCGTGGTTGTGGGAGGAGGAGGATGACTTCCACCTCTCCCCCTGTTAGATTCCCGTTGTGCTGTGACATCACCCTTATACGCTGTGTAAAGCATACTTTTTAATTTAATAGTAAATAAAGTGAATAAATCCCTAAATAAATAGGTGCTACTATCACCTTTGTGGGCCACACAAACCACAAACAAAGTGAATAATACAAAATAAACTAGAGGTGAGAGCACACAATGCAAAGAAATACTACCCACACTGGTCAAGTTATCTGGAAAAAAACAAATGAACAAAACATAGAGTAGTATGTCTTGATACAGTATATTAACAAAAGGTGCCAATCACACTCACATAGATGGAGCCACTTAAATAGCTGGCTCAAACTTGGTGCCTTGGATATAGAACACAGGACCTCCACTGGGAACTTCTTTCTTTCTTTGGAAAACTCTCCAAAAACGCAGAATATGGAGTAAAATACTTTATTCTTTTAAAATAAATTGAATTAAAACAAAGATAATAAAAAGTCCCAAAAAGGAAAGTCCAATCAGTTGACGCGTTTCGGCTGTCCGCCTTCCTCCGAAGTGATGTCCATATCCAAGGCATCTGAATTATATATTTGAATTTTGGCGCCCTTTCTCTCTCTTCCGTCCTTCTGTTCCGGTTTCTGACGTCAGAACGCCCTCTGCGTCATCACGTTCCGACGTCAGACGTCACTTCCGGTTCCGGTCACATGCTTGTGGTCCGGATGTACGGACGTAGAAAAAGGGCAAACTCCTGGCATATCATCAATAGCTTAATGTCCATAACCCACTGGCCACCAATAGAGTCACATTATTAACTATAGAAGGGGAGATATAAACATCTAAAAGCACTTATTAATAAAACATAATTATATAAGTTTAAAGTGACACAACCAATACTTATCATAAAAATAAATATATTGATAAATACACATTCATATAATAGTTTACACCACATATAGATATAAAAAAAAATATATATAAAAATATAAATATATAAAATATAAAAAATATATATATATATTATATATAATAAATCAAAGGAGGGAACCTTATATCTTTCTCATTTTACTTTTAGTTAATAAATTGATTTATTTCAAAGTCTACATGATATATGTTTTATTAAGAAGTGGTTTTAGATGTTTATATCTCCCCTTCTATAGTTAATAATGGGACTCTATTGGTGGCCAGTGGGTTATGGACATTAAGCTATTGATGATATGCCAGGAGTTTGCCCTTTTTCTACGTCCGTACATCCGGACCACAAGCATGTGACCGGAACCGGAAGTGACGTCTGACGTCGGAACATGATGACGCAGAGGGCGTTCTGACGTCAGAAACCGGAACAGAAGGACGGAAGAGAGAGAAAGGGCGCCAAAATTCAAATATATAATTCAGATGCCTTGGATATGGACATCACTTCGGAGGAAGGCGGACAGCCGAAACGCGTCAACTGATTGGACTTTCCTTTTTGGGACTTTTTATTATCTTTGTTTTAATTCAATTTATTTTAAAAGAATAAAGTATTTTACTCCATATTCTGCGTTTTTGGAGAGTTTACATCCAAAGAAAGAAAGAAGTTTCCAGTGGAGGTCCTGTGTTAAATATCCAAGGCACCAAGTTTGAGCCAGCTATTTAAGTGGCTCCATCTATGTGAGTGTGATTGGCACCTTTTGTTAATATACTGTATCAAGACATACTACTCTATGTTTTGTTTATTTGTTTTTTTCCAGATAACTTGACTCCAGTGTGGGTAGTATTTCTTTGTATTGTGTGCTCTCACCTCTTGTTTATTTTGTATTATATACTTTTTCATTTATTTTGCAAATCCTGCATCCTTTCATACTTGTTGTAATTCGGTAACATTTCCGCCACTTTCTGCTTATACCAGGGGTCTAGTAGCGTGGACACCCAGTACAGGTCGTTCTCCTTCAGCCTTTTTATACGAGGGTCCCTCAACAGGCACGACAGCATGAAAGACCCCATTTGCACAAGGTTGGATGCCGAGCTACTCATTTCCCGTTCCTCCTCCTCACTGATGTCAATGAAGGTATTTTCTTCCCCCCAGCCACGTACAACACCACAGGTACCAGATAGGTGACAACGAGCACCCTGGGATGCCTGTTGTGGTTGGTCTTGCTCCTCCTCTTCCTCCTCCTCAAAGCCACATTCCTCCTCTGACTCCTCTTCCTCACAATCCTCTTCCAGCGTTGCCGCAGGTCCAGCAAGCGATGCTGATAAGGCTGTTTCTGGTGGTGATGGTGACCACAACTCTTCCTCTTCCTCTTCACGCTCATCTACGGCCTGATCCAGCACTCTTCGCAGGGCACGCTCCAGGAAGAAAACAAATGGTATGATGTCGCTGATGGTGCCTTCGGTGCGACTGACTAAATTTGTCACCTCCTCAAAAGGACGCATGAGCCTACAGGCATTGCGCATGAGCGTCCAGTAACGTGGCAAAAAAATTCCCAGCTCACCAGAGGCTGTCCTAGCACCCCGGTCATACAAATATTCATTAACGGCTTTTTCTTGTTGGAGCAGGCGGTCGAACATTAGGAGTGTTGAATTCCAACGTGTTGGGCTGTCGCAAATCAAGCGCCTCACTGGCATGTTGTTTCGCCGCTGGATATCGGCAAAGTGAGCCATGGCCGTGTAGGAACGCCTGAAATGGCCACACATCTTCCTGGCCTGCTTCAGGACGTCCTGTAAGCCTGTGTAATTATGCACAAAGTGTTGTACGATCAGATTACACACATGTGCCATGCACGGCACATGTGTCAACTTGCCCAACTTCAATGCCGCTAACAAATTTGTTCCGTTGTCACAAACCACTTTGCCGATATCCAGTCGCTGCGGAGTCAGCCACTTTTCCACCTGTGCGTTCAGGGCGGACAGGAGTGCTTGTCCGGTGTGACTCTCTGCTTTCAAGCAAGTCAAACCCAAGACGGCGTGACACTGCCGTATCCGGGATGTGGAATAGTACCTGGGGAGCTGGGGGGTGCCGTTGATGTGGAGCAAGACGCAGCAGCAGAAGAGGACTCAGCCGAGGAGGTTATGGAAGAGGATGGAGTAGGAGGAGTAGAGGAGGTGGCAGCAGGACTGCCTGCAAGTCGTGGCGGTGTCACCAACTCCTCTGCAGAGCCATGCATTCCATGCTTGGCAGCAGTCAGCAGGTTTACCCAATGCGCAGTGTAGGTGATATACCTGCCCTGACCATGCTTTGCAGACCAGGTATCAGTGGTCAGATGGACCCTTGCCCCAACACTGTGTGCCAGAGATGCTATTACTTCCTTTTGCACAATCGAGTACAGGTTGGGGATTGCCTTTTGTGAAAAGAAATTTCGGCCGGGTACCTTCCACTGCGGTGTCCCAGTAGCTACAAATTTTTGGAACGCCTCAGACTCCACCAGCTTGTATGGTAAAAACTGGCGGGCTAATAGTTCGGACAAGCCAACTCGTCTCCTCCTCCTCCTCCTCCTCTCTGTCTCCCCATCTGAACTTTCGCCCTGTTCTTCTTCTTGCCGAGCGGGCACCCACGTGACATCCATGGACGCATCGTCATCATCAACCGCTTCACTTATATCTGACAACTCAGCAAAGGAAGCAGCAGTGGGTACAACATCATCATCATCATCACACCGTACGTCCATGTGTGTAATGCTGCCTGCCTGAGACATATCCCTGTTATCTACATCCTCTGGCAATAATGGTTGCGCATCACTCATTTCTTCAAACGGATGTGTGAATAACTCCTCTGACATACCAACCGAAGCGGCTGTGGTGCTAGTTTTGGTGGTGGCGGCAGGCGGGTGAGTGGTATCTTGAGAGGTGCCTGAAGCTAAGCTGGAGGAGGATGGTGCGTCAAGGTTCTGAGCGGAGGCTGTAGAAGATTGGGTGTCCTGTGTTAGCCAGTCAACTATGTCCTCAGAACTTTTCAAATTCAGGGTACGTGGCCTCTGAAAACTGGGTTTAATTCTGGGGCCAAAGGGAATCACAGCACCACGACCACGATGGCCCTTGCGGGGTGGCCTGCCTCTGCCTGTCATTTTTTGGGGGATTAGTGGTACTATGCGTGCAAGCTACTGTGAGACCAGAAATGAGTGGCAATGTGCACTGGCACAGTTGTGCAGGGTACAGGCTGTAGGCCTGACACAGCCGCTATTCAATCTATAACAGTGAAAAAGTTTTTTATTTTTAAATGCAAGCTATTGTGACACCAGATATGAGTGAGTGGTGGCACTGGGCACCGTATCCACTGTGAGCCTGACACACCTGCTTTAAGGACACTGACTGCTATTCAATCTATAACAGTGAAAAAAGTTTTT